AACAAACAGTTGGTATATACATATATAGCAGTTGGATCACTGATGTGACTACATGATCAGTAGTTCACACCATAGATATAGATATACACATATTATGCATTTTACGCAATAGATCTCTGACAGGAAACAGCTCGTGCACGTCCTGGCACAAAGCTCAGTACACCGGACACACAGATGGGATGAACAGGTTTATTCCAGTGATGAACAGTTCTCCAGAGAGTCCTCTTTCAGGCAGACATTAAATCAAATCCTCAAAAACTCATATCTATTGAAAATGATAGATTTTTTTCCTTCCAGGACTTGAATGTGACTTGTGATGCAACTCACGATCTGAATATAAACTGTGTCCAGCCACCCCTCAGGCTCACACTTCAGCTCATCAAGCACACAAACCTCTGCGTGGTTTTTTTCCAATATAAGTCAACATCACACTAGCAGAGCCGTAATAATATTTCCCAGAAATTGCTTGACTGGTTTACAGTGAATGAGTGTTTCAGAAATAGGTGAGAACCTGTTTCTACCATTGCTTCAATCAGAAGTTCAATTTACTGCTGCAATCATTAAGGGGCACGCTACATGTGCATGGCTTCCATTGCCTCAGTCACACTTGAACAACCTGACTCATAAAAGCTTTCAGAAAATAATAAAGCTGTCAACAGTCTATCTCCATACTCACTGTGGCAGCACGATCATAGTATTCAAGAGTGAAAAACATTTCCCACCTCCAGCAACACTTGATGTTTTAAAACATGACATGTTCTCACCTGAACTACTCATTCTTACACCGACTCTACCGAATGATGAGAGAGCGTCGCTGTAAAACTCTTTGAACTTTTCAAAGTAAAATACACATATTTATTCAATTTCAACATGATTTTAATCCTGCATGTTGATGAAATACATTATCAGTCCAGCCAGTATTTAGTGTGTATCATGTATAAATGGCTCACCTGTCTGTAAGTTGTGAATGATCCTTAGTGAGCGTTCAGATCTGCCCTGATGCTTTTCAGTGTGATGCAGGGGTGTGTCTAAGAGGTGGCCAGCCTCAGGGCCTGCCCAGGAAAATGTGGAGTGATTAAGAGGCATGTTAGAAGAATATCTGATGAGGTCAATGTCTGGGTCAGTTCTATAAAATGACTTTCAGTATTACTGCAGGTAGGGTTTCCTGTTTTCCTTTGCTACTGCGCTTCCTGTTCTTACACATTTTGCTCCACAGTTTTTTAAAGTTTCATGCCAGAGGCTTGGCAATGCATTTATGTGAAATAAGCTATCTGCTCAAACTTACTGGATCCTAAGTCTGTAAAACTTTTACTTGTATTCTTTGCCAGTTCAAAAATGCCACTGGTTGACTGTACTCTCACTGATCATACAATGACGTAAGACGAGTCCCAAGTCCAAAATAAGCAGCACTGATTACAGCACTGACGTAATTCCAGTGGCAGTCAGTCACTGACAGACTGCAGGTTTATCAGTTTGTGAAAATGAGATTTTGAATTTTTTCCAATTTCTCAAACTTCACTCACCCTGATGCTTCCCCAAAAAACTATCTGACAAGTGAGATACCTGCCAGAACTTTGTCTCAGTGATCAAATTCATAGAGAAGATGCCAGAGTAACGTGCCTAAAAATGAATTCACATTATTGTATGGAGTAGAAACTATTTGGTTTCATCACCTTGGAGAGCTCAGCTCCATTCTTCTACCCTTTACATTCATTTAACTGTCAGAGACGGTTTTCTATTGTTAGTCTGCTCCTTCCTCTCTGCTTCGCTTCCCCCTGCAGGTTCATTTCTTTGTCTCCCCTCAGCACGACGTTGTTCTAATGGGTGTAAGTTTACTGCTGCTTATTATGGTTTTTGTAAAGCCTTGAATTGCGTAATGTTCAGCAACCACCACACTGATAAAGGAAACACATAATGTGCAGACTAGCTACAGGACAATAACCTGTGTTTCACACAGTGGTCTTTTTCAGGTTAACTGTGAGAGGTAATGTTTGTCAGGATGATTGATGACGTAACAAGTTGCAGTTAAAAGAAATGAGAGCATACTTGTCATGAAAGTGTGCAGTTGAGAGTGGTTGAAGAATGAAAGGTCAACAAGTCTTAATCTAATAGCAACATACTGCAAATAGTTAAACAGTCCACAACATGAATACCCTGATGTAATCATTATAAGCCAGTGTGACCATGGAGTCCTGAGGATTCCAGTCTCATATTCTTTCTTACTGAAGGGTTATCAAGAATGCAAACTCATGTGCTGCCCTGGTGGCCAAGGGATTATCCAAAAGAAACTTCAAGTCAGTGTTCATCGAGGGAGTACCAGGGAGTACCAGGGAGTACCAGGTCCCTAAACGTGTCTATATGCCGTCAGCAAATATTGTTGTTCCACATTTCCATTTCCATTGTTAGCACAGTTGACGAATATTTGATTGGAAGGAGAACTTCCCCTTTTAGCGCAGTGCTCGTTCTTCTGGTTTGGAATGTTTAGTTTTACTTTGCAGACAAATTACAAAAGAGGAAGTGATTCTATGAACGCTGTTGTCATGACAGAAAGATCAACAGGTGCTACTCCCAGGAAAGTGTGTGTCAGTCCGATATGGTGAATTGAAAATAATTAAATAATCAAAATGATGTGTTGATGGTTTTGACCCCAATTTTGACCCAGTTACCAACCGCTGTTGTAGTTTATCAGGGGACATGTTCAACCTGCTCCACTGACTGTTAGAGCAGACTATTTATTCAGATTTAATTAATATTGAACATATCACATGTTCAAATCACAGCAAACTCTGCACTTCACTTCCCAAGGCCATTAACAATACATATGCCAAGTGGGAAGGCAATTTGATGAACAGGTCGTGAGGTTCTGCTGGAGGTTTCTTCCACCTGGGTGTCTTTCCTCCCCGCCGTTGCTCATGCTTGCTCTGTGTGGAACAAGTTGGATTTTGTGTTTCTTAAGATCTTGGACTTTTGTGCAGCACCCTGAGACAACTGTTTGTTGTGATACCGTGCTATATGAATAAATTTGATTGATATGCATTCCACAGACAGAGACAGACAGAGACGGACAGACAGACAAAGACAGACAGAGACAGTTGTGGAATAAGTAGATAAACTTCGCCTCGTCACTCTGATGGTCCCACTTTTTCACCCCACATTGGTGTGTGGCCATTTGGAACAGTTTCTGGTTTACTATTGGGAAACTACCCACCCACTTCAGCATTTCTATATCCATACAGTCTGCATACATATAAGTCTATCTCAATATTTGAAAGCAGCCTACTAATGAACAAATAGTTTTTACATGCTCGTGCACTAATCCTGTTCCACTGAACTTTACTCAAATACATTGCTATGCAAACAACCGTTCTATAGTGAAAGTTGTATATTAAGAGGATGTTCTGTTTTTTTTTTGTTTTTTTTTTATTCTATTGCCTTTTTCATTCTGTTGTTTACCTCATTCTGACTCTCAAGTGAATTTCCCCAGTGTGGGATCAATAAACAGTTTTAAACAGTTTGTTTATCTGGAAACATGACAAAGAACAGAGCAGGTTTCTTCTTTATCAAATTCCAGTGGACTCGACATGTTAAAACAAAACATTTAGCCTTTGCAAACAGAAATGATGTACATGTGTACATGCATATGAGGCGGGGAGGTGAGATCTGATCACAGACGGACACTAGAGATACACAGGGAGGATCATCCAGGACACATGTTGATGCCAGGTCTGAAAAGGGCCTCAGACTTGTAGAAGCACACTGACGCATCTATAGGACACCATGTTGGCTCTTTCATTACTGTGTCACTACTGACACTCATTTAATAATGAAGTTTCTGTTGTCTACATCCTATGAGTCCCATGAATGACAGTTTTACTTTATCACATTAAAACTCATTGATTCCAGGTCCATAGCCTGGTGCTGCTGTAGTGGATATGGAAGAGACCACTGGGTTTTTACAGCTAAACACACTTACGACATCGTTATCGTGTGAAGATGTAAATGTTGTGAAATGTTTGACCTGTAACCTTATATAACCATAGACATGCATGACAATCATACCTTATCTAGAAGCTCCTTTACCCGAGTTCCAATAAATGACATTACAAATCAAGACACATTCGTTGCATAGTTTCGTCCTTACTTCACTGTTTATTTCATTGTTATTATCATTATTAGTAGTATTTTATTATTGTTTCTTTGACTTGTTTTGGTTTTGTGCAATTAGCAAAATACTTTGCTCTTGTACAAATGATAATAGGTACAAACATACAGTACATACACACCCTCTGAAATGCATCCAGGAGGCAAACAGAAACATTTCATACATGTCAATACAGTCAAATAAAATACAGAAGAAAATGAAAAACAATTTGTAAACTAAAAATATTATTGGCAATATAATAAAAATGTTGCTACAATAATGTAACTTAAAAAATATTTGTCAAGTAATAAAGCTATGAAAATTGTGGTTATATTTATGCTCCAGCATGCACCTCATATTTTCATCAAGAGCCTGATTTTTTTTTTTTTGCCAACAGCATCTTAAATTGTGAAATGTCCTCCCAGGTCACAGTTATTGTTCTAAAATTCAACCATAAGCTCAGAGGACGTTTGTTGGTGCAAAATCAGAAGCGTTGCTTTATCCCAATCATTCCAGGACAACATAATTGTGGTCCTGAAATTACTAGTTGACTTCTCCTTCTTGGTCAGTGTAATTCAAATGTTAATGTTAATGAATGTTTTCTCTCGAACGGAAAAAAATAACGTGGCACCGGAAACCCTTTGTGCTGGTGCCTGTCTGTCTGTCCATCTGTCCTTCTACCCACTCACGAGCGCCTCCCCGGGCCACCTCCAGTCCCGTCACGGCACCAATTAATCTACCAAAACACATGAACAGACCTGTTAGTTTTGTCTCCAGAGTTTGTCAAAGCTCACGTCCCAGTTTCTGTCACACAGCTAATGGGAAATTCCGGTACAACTCCTCAAAAGCCACGGAAGCTTTTCAGGACATTTTTGTCACATGTATTAATCTGTAAAAAGCATGTGAACCCTGCGGAATGACCTGGTTTTCTGCATTCATCTTCATCTCAGACACAAGACAGACAAGCACAATACGCTAATGACACACAATTATAATCTTTCCTGTCTTCATCGGTCAAACCTCAAACCAGCTCTTCCAGCAGGTGAAGTTCAGAGCAGCTCAAGATTTTGGAGGAGTTCTGAATCATTCTTCTGTTTCATATTCTGACGATGTGATGCGAGCGACTCTCTCAGCTCGTTCCACAGATTACTGTCTGGGCTGTGAATGGAGGTGGAACAGGTGGATTTTCTTTAGTTGGCTTAACTGGATTTTTTTGGTCATTGTTTCACTGCATCACTCAAAGTCTCCTAATCTTTAGCTGGTGAACAGCCATCCTTACATAATCCTGAATATACGCTGATAAACTTTGGAATTCATTCAGTCCCTAAATGATGTTGAGCTGCCCCAGGCCCAGAGGCAAACCATGAAACTCCCTCCTCTGTGCTGCGCTGACGGGATGTGTCCTTGTTTTACACTACACACGTATGTTCTCCCAAAACACTTCAACCTTCCAGTCTGGTTAAAAAGACTCGACTCTTAATAACTCAACTCAAGTTTGTTGATGTCATTATAGGTTCACATACACACACACCATATATATACAGACACAGACAGACACACATACCTCAGTCACTCTGATGGATGTAAAGGATTTATGTTAAAGTACAGAATGTTTGTAATGCATTAGGAGACATAATACACTCCTATCTCTGATATATGTTTTTATTTACCAGATTCCGCAGAGAGGAGGTGGTGGGTGTTAAGCTAGGGTGACTCACAGATATAAAGGCTACAATTTTGCGAGGAAGAACCAGGATACAAAAATACCGGAATTACCCTTTAACTTACATTGAATTGAAATTTAAGGCACACATGTAGAATAATCTGCTCATTTCCAGAGATAACACAGTGGAGTGTTGAAAGTCGTGAAATGATCAGACTTTTTCTTTTCTTCTCACAAAGAAGGTCCCACAGTGCTACATCACTGTTCTTACTACACAACTTTCTAATGGAGCCCTCTCCAGACATGGAGTATGTAACATTAGTTAGTGTCTATTACAAATATGTTCTTTGCAGCAATGTTATTTGATCATTTTGTGTATGAGTGGGAACAGCTGGAGAACAGAAGTGACACCGGGATAGAAAAGCTGAGAGGTGTTTTCTGTTCTCTCACCAGATTTCTGTCTGTTCAAGTGTAAGGTTTGTTGAGTTAAACCTTTTTTTTTTGCTGTTGAAGCTTTGGTTAATTGTCAGTATGAGTGTGAGGCCCTTCTCACAGTAAACCCCAAAGTACATCTTCATCACTTTCATCTTTTATATTCCTAGTTTTTTTATATCCACTCCTGCTAAAGTATAGAACGGCGGGGTGTTCAGTTGATACTCACATGAATTCCTACTTGCTCAAAGCCTGTATTTTATCAATGCCTTTCAGAAATGTGATGAATTATTATTGCACTTAAACACTGACAGCAAACACATTTCATCTCTCAGTGAGTATCTCTGCTGTTGTGCTGCTGCAGTCTTTAAAGTAATCTGATGCCATTCAGGTCAGATGTGAACCATGTTGAAAGTGATGTGAAATTGTTTCACAAGGGGACCAGGCTACTTACTTTGTGCTGTAAAGGGTTGAATGTCGGTAAGCTGGTGTTGGATTTTAAAGTGACAGACAATGCCGAATAATCACTAATGTCACAGACAGGTAACCTTTACATTTTCCACATTATCTACCAATTTGGAATAGCCAGTTTCACCAAAATGTCAATTGTAGCTGCCAATGAGTATTTTGTTGAACTTCCCCTAAATGAACTGACTCCATGATTTATTGATGTTGCCGATTTGGTTCAGACAACTCTGTCTTCAGCTTCAGTCCAAAGGTAATGCTTCTGAGCACCTTATGGGACCATCTTTTCTGAAGTGTGCCAGAGAACCAGTTAGCCCCAGTGTCATTCTTTTAAGTTTGCATGGATATTTTGTCCAGCCTATACACTTGTTATAGGAGAGCTAGCTAGAACTGACAATTAGCACTTCTGGATGCTCACAGGAGGAAATTCGTTCTCGTCATCCAGACACACAGGTCCGGCAGCAAACTCGTGTTCTGGAATGACTTCGCCTTTCTTTGCCCCACCATCTTCAGAGTAGCCTGGGTAGAAACAGATGAGGGAGGCAGACAAATCATTAGAAATGCAAGCAAGTCCATATGCCTATGTACAACTCCTGAAGAAAGCTACGTGATTAATCTGCAGCATTTAACAGGAGAGATTTTATAGTTGCAATAATGGAGTAATAATATATCTATGGGTCAAGATACCAGACAGACTGCTTTCTCCTATAGGTTCTGATGCCTGAGGTGTGGATGGTGAAGACAATGTTAAAGGATAAAGACAGGCACTTTATTTGTCTTTTCCTACTGTCAACAAATCCCATTAAAACAAAACAGCATGAAAATGGGCGTGTCCCCTCAGGGTGGCATGTTGATGTCACTGCTGAGCTCGACCCGTCCTTTATTATCAAACTGGGCAGGGCCAGTTGTTTTGCAGACGTCCCTTTTCCACCAAGGCAGTTCCGGGGCCGCTTCGGAGCCAGACACAGACGTATGGTAACGTAATGACATGGCTCTAAGGCAACTCTAGCCCATGGAAAAGCAAAAGTGGTTCTTTAAAGATTTGCAAGTTGTCCCAGCTTCAAACGTGCCAACAAAACAGAGAAGCTTGGATCAGAACTTCATTGCGACTCCACGCTAAGCTTCCATAGAGAAATGTTTTAAATCTATTATATATAACCTTAAATAAATGCCAGGAAATGAACTTTGTGGAAACCCTCAACATAAATGAGGTCAGCTGAGAGAGAAGTCCGAGCCTTCATGTTACACATAGAGTCGTGTGTGTGATCACTAACCAGTGAGGGTAGCAGTGACCGGTCCAGAAGCTGGTAAGGCAGCTGTTGCAGCGTAGGATGGACAGGCCTGTGCTGGCCCTGTGACCTCTGACCCCTCGGACTCTGTTCCTTCCCCCTGGTCATCATCACTGCCAAAGAGCCTATGAGCCAAAAAACAAGAGTGAAGCGAGGACATAGGAGGAAAAGCACTTAACATTTGACTTTTGCTGAGTCTTTCAAAGAACAGTGAAACATTTTGAGTTTCACAATTTCCCTAATCCGCTAATGGATCAAAGTGTTCAAACTGTCACATGCAAGTGTTTGAGTTTGATGCACAACACAAGAGGTGGTGTCTGCTTCAGTGGCAGCTTTTGGATTCAGGAGCAGAGGCAGAGCACAACATTTCCACATGGTACTAAAATCGAATCTGTGCCTCAACACACATCTGATCATAGACCTTACACCTGGTTACGAGGTGGTCACGGTTCAGATGGTAAAGCGGGTCATCTGTTAATTGCAGGAGCAGTGGTTCGAGTTGTAATTACTACATTTGGAAAGCTTTGATCTATCTGAGCCTGAAAGTGAAACAAATGTGGACACCACACATCAAGTGTCCTGTTTCTAATGCCAACACACAGAATGTTAACAATTACATGATAAACTGTACTGATGATGAGAACATTCATTAACAAGAATCTTTCCCATTTCTACCAACTGTCCTGTAGGATGTGAACATGGCATTAGCGCAGCAGATTTGCCCAGAAGTAGATCCTATATCCCGTACGTCCTAATCCATTGGATGAGCTACAAAGCTTCTTTTGTTTATGTAGAAAGAGGCTTGCACTGCCTGACCACAATAAATATTACTCTGAGTTTCATTCACTTCTTGATCCTCTACAACAGCTGAAGTCTGCATTGTTCATACTCTTAAAAGTTATGAAAATAAGAACCCAGGAAGAAAAACACTGGACTTGTGCTATAAAGCACTTAAGTGTGGTGTAGAATCTTGGTGCCCTGTTGTATTACACATGTCAGTGGTGGAATGTAAGTACATTCATTCAAATAGTGTACTTGTATTTGAATTAAGTATTGAAATCTTATGCAGTCTTATAATTCAACCAAACTTTTTAGCTGACTCTGGCTGATTGGTCCTCTGGTCATTCTGATGGAGCTGTTTCTCCATTCAAATCAGATAGTGTTTAACATTCAGGAGAGAAATCCACATGAACACCTCTTTTCATGACCTCAGACCTTGGGACGTTTCTGAAAAAGATCACAAGTTGTGATGTAATGTCAGAGGACATTAAACCTATTGTGTTCCTTTGTTCAGATGGTACATTAATATTTTGTCATTTTGGTTGTATGTTTTTTTTCCTTGGAATTGTATCCAACATCTGAGGAAACTGCTGATATTTCTAACCACCCAATCATTGCCCTCTGTCATTTGAAGGCAGTAACCTTCATATTTGTGTCATTGTTTCCATTGCCTAGCAGTGGTGATGTCATGACTTAACCACTTTAATACCAAGCACACCCTGGTATAACGCAACCCACACGTTAACCACTAGAGCTGACACAATCCCTCTGAAGGCAGCATGTGATTATGATTACACCATGAAGCTCAGCTGGAGTGTGGAGAGGCTGTCCTGCCCTAACAGCTGCATTCACGCAAACAGAGGTGTGAGTGAGATGTCAGTCAAACACACTGTAATGAGAAGAATCAGGCAACGCAGGTGAAAACACTTGTGGATTTTATGTATAATCTCACCACGACACTGACAGGGTCCATTCTGCTGCATAACCAGAGCTTTCACTGTTGATTCCTAAAATGCCTTTTTCTGATAATACTTGCATTCTTTTATTTAAAGGTCCAGTGTGTAAGATTTAGGGGAAAGGGATCTATTGGCAGATATTTAATGTAGAATAATCCTCATGATGTTTCCACTAGTTCGTTTCATCTAAATTATATGAACTTTAGTTTTCTTTACCCCAGAAAAGACCCTTTATATTGAAATACTTTATATTTACATGGAGGGGACCCTCTCTATGGAGGCCACCATGTTTTTTACATGACTGAACAAACTAAACACCTTTTGAGTTTTTATGACAACTGAAGCTACCACAGGTTCTTTTTCATGTTTGGAAGGAGAGGGTGAGGTGAGGGGTGTTCAGCTGCAACATGACACTTCAACACTATATATCACTAAATTCTAAATTCTACACACTGAACCTTTAAGTAGGCAAGAAATGACTTTTCCTTAAGTACTTTTTACACTGTGGTATTCTTACTTCCTCCACCATGTGTTGATAATTGAGACAAAAGAAAGAAACTGACATTACAAATGGCAGATGCTTCTTGGACATGCTAAGCTTTGTTTAATGATGTCCTAAGACCGTTTCTATAACTTTAAATATTTTGGAGGTTCACATCTGAACAATTACTAGTTATCATTGTCATGTTCTAATAATTTCCTAAACAAGCTTCCTGGTAATAACAAATTAATTCAGTGGTGGTTGTAGAGAAAAAATGTATTTGAAGGAAAAGCTCCATTCATATTCTTTCCACTGACTGGCATTAGGAATGAATGAATTGGATGA